ATAGATGGTAAAGTAGCTGTCACATATCAAAAAATACAGAAAAATAGAATATCAGTTGGCAATTGTGGGGTGTGATTCTAATGGCCTCACCACCAAGGTTGTATGTTCGATCAGCCTTGTTATATGTCCAGAGGATGATTAATGCTGCATTTTGCACCCCCATCACAATGTGCTTTGTTTTTTTGTGTTTTGCGAACGGGAGCACAAAGTTGTAGAAAGGCGTACGTCGTAGGCATTCGTAATGGGCAGGTGCAAGGTTTACGCCGTCAAAGAAAGACACAATTGACTTCAAACTCCCTCTGAATTGTGAAGTCCACTTACCATGTTTACGTGTCTGTTGCGCCATTTTTCACATTTCTTCTGTAAAAAGGCATGTAAATTTGTTATAAAAAACTTTTTAATAATAACTAATTAACAGAGTTTTCAGCAATATGACAGCACATGACTATATATTACTATAACTATGTAGACCTACACACTTAACAAATGGGCAGAATAGGACTCAATATGACTCAATTATAGCATGGAATGTGGTAATGTGGATGTATAACTACATATTCTGGCCTAGTCACATATAGTTATAATGGTAATGTGACTATGTAACTACATAATCAGAAACGGTCTTGTAATTAATAATTTACCAACTTAGTTAACATTATTCATCTATGCCAGTGGAGGTCTTTAAACACAGGGCTACAACATGACTCCATATGAATAGACCACAACATCTATTGTTGTGAACTAATATATCAACGCATACCAAACATGATTGTTGCCCCAAAAACTCTGTATGTACAAAAGTAATCCCATCTGAAACAACAAAATGGATCTAATCTGGATCTACGATCACACATGCAGACATATACAACTAATTACATAAACATGCAGACATATACCATACATTATATCAACATGACTACATAAAACGACTATAACAATACACTAATTTAGTTTCAAATTTTTATAACATACTCAAATTAAATCAGAGCATATTTCTGCTGCAAATGTTAAGGAGTCAGAACATTATTAACATTGGAATACAACTAATTACATCAACATGCAGACATATGCCATACATTATATCAACATGACTACATAAAACGACTATAACAATACACTAATTTAGTTTCAAATTTTTATAACATACTCAAATCAGAGCATATTTCTGCTGCAAATGTTAACGAGTCAGAACATTATTAACATTGGAATACAACTAATTACATTAACATGCAGACATATGCCATACATTATATCAACATGACTACATAAAACGACTATAACAATACACTAATTTACGGGCACAAAATACTATATTTTTTGCAATAATGGTACAAAAATTGATTGGCAAAAACAAAGGATTTAGGTATACAAACTAACCGGCATCAAGATGCATAATGTCCTGAGGATTGGGTCTTCGTTTACGCTTATGTGACTATCGCAACTCAAATTCACGGGATTATGAATACCGAAACACCACTGAAATAAAACACGACTGTGAATGAGAAAGTGGGTGGACGATTTTGTAGCAACTGTCTTCGATTTTAGAATGTGACTGCAAATTCGCAATGAGTATTTTGATTTTTTTGCCAGTTTTTGATTTTGGGGAAAAATCCCAATATGTGCGTCTCCTTTCTTAAGGATGCTGCGTTTTAATTTTTTTTTTCTTTTTAAATGTTTAATTAAGAGCAGTTTATTAGAGAAACTAAATAATTAACCATAAATAGTGGGATTAGGTGCCTTATTAATAGGGATTTTGAAAATAATATATAAATATAAAAAATAAACGTGAGATGCTATTGGAGGGGTAAGATGGGAATTAAATATTTTAGGGGGTTTTCACAAAGGAAGATTTATGGTATGGACTTATCCCTAGTTTTTATCTATAAGAGGGGTGTATTGCTAATGACCCCTACATTAAATATGACTTTGAACAGTTATCTGCTCAACTTTGCAATAAATTTGTATAAAATCCCTTTTATATTTTTGTTGCATAATCATGACGTCACGTCTACGAACTCAAATCTGCTTAGTCGTGTAATATTTTATGTGATGCTACATCCGGTGAAATAAATCGTATGATTATAAATCATTGATCAGCATATAAACACATATATGTGTATGCGTGGTTGCTGGAAAGTTATTTCACCAAATCAACAATTAAAAATTATCTAGTGTATTTCACTCGATGTAGCATATCGTAAATAATTTGACTAAGACATTGTTTTGATATTCTTTAATAGTATATTTCAAGTCCTTTTGTATATTAAAATATGGGATTTACTCGGTTAAATTTCTTGCAAAATAAAATGATATTTTTTAATAACAAATTAAATCAAATGATAATTGATATTATCCACTATTATTATGGAATCAATATTATTAATTTTTTGTTTTTATGTTCAAGATATTTGAAAACCGAATATAATTTAGTAATTGTAGCGTTGGCCAGTACTCCATCATTTATTGGCCACAATTATGTGTGGGCATATCCACTATTCTTCCATCCTCTTCTATATTTTGGACCTAACTTAGATATTCATTTATTATTTTATTCTTTCTTTTTTATCTTTTTCCAATTCCTTTTCCTACTTGCGTGTGTATATTTGCATCAAAAGACAGAATCGCCCTCCGGGCTTCCATCACTTGGCCTGACAGTATTTAGTGGATAAGTATAAATTATATATAATGACTCAACGGCACATTAAAATAACGAACCAGTGGTTTGTGCGCGCGTTTTTGAAGCTATACTGGGAGGGTTTTCTATTTTCTTCTTATAGTATTGTTTTTTCAGTATTTAATAGTTTTGGTTTATGCTATTTCTAAAATAAGTTATTTTAATCCATAATCTCAAAAAAAAAAAAAAAAAATCTAAAATTGGATTATACATTTGTGCTCTTGTTATTTTCATTTAAATCCAATTCATAGGGACATTTGAGATATTTTACAAAAAAAATAAGTGTTATGGGCTTAAGATTAATTTGTATTCAAATATGGGTCATAGGCCCTGATTCATGGCTTACATGGGCCAAATTGTGGTCCACGTAAATTTCTTCAAACTAAATGATTTATATTATAATTAGCTATTAAATTTGTTAAAATAAAATATAAAAATATACTAACAAAGAAGTGAAATTTAATCGTGTATCCTTACCTTATACAAACTTAGATGCTACACCTGATCATTTACATTGTGTGAATTTAAACCGTAGATCTATACGTAATTACACACATCCCATGTGTACGTGTGTTTGGTGACTAATTATTTCAAATTTGCAATTCAAATACATCCGATGTTATTAAATAACAGGTGTAACATCTAAATTCACGTGTCGCATGTGTTTGAATTTCTGTACTACATTTATGCCGAAAACCTAACAAATTTGGCAAACATATAGCAAAAATAATTGTATATCAAATCAAAATCAAATTAAATCCTTTTAACATTTTTTAGTGAAAGCCATAAAAGATGATGGATTCTTCATCATAAATTTTAAATTCAGAAAATAAATAAAATTAAATAAAATAATAAATGTAAAAGTATACCCCTTCGTGAGTGTGATCCTCACTTAACATTATCTGCAAATCTAACTTCCGGCATACGCCCGCCGTTATGATGCGGCGGCCGCCCATTTCCGGCCACTCTGGCGGCGGAAGGGAATTTGAATTTCTTATCGAACCCTAATTCCACGTCGCCATGGTCTCTCATGTTCAAGTTTGGATTTTGCCTAGACTCCCACTCTTTAGGCCCTAGTCCGCCGCCGCCGCCGTGGCTCTGCTTAGCGGCCTTCTGGTGGTGGTGGTGGTGCGCCTCCTTGGCACGGTGGCGCCGGCGGCTGCAAAGGCGTCCCAGAACACAAGCCACAGCGGAAATCACGAAAATGACAGCCAATACTATGAAAACAGGCCCGAAAGATCCGCTGGTGTGGGGAGAATTAGTAGGCTGTTTGGTTACAGGATTAGGATATACCTCAATTGGTTGTGACATTTTCTTTTCCGGGTTTGATTGATTTGGTGAAGTGTAATTTATGGGAAATTGGATGATTTTATTTCAAAAAATTCGTTGGAATTAATATAATAATAATAAAATTAAAAAAAAAAAAAAAGAGGGGATTTTCTTTTAAAAAAGAGAGTAACAACTATAAAGATATATTCTTTGCCGCGCCCTTTGATTCGGAGAAAGCGTGTTTAAGGTTAACAATTGTTAAGAGATTGTACCCTACTTATAAGCTGCACTATGGTGGTGTTTGCAAATGCTTTTTGAAAGTGATTATGCGGTTTTTTTTTGCTCATAATCTGTTTTTAGGTGTTTGCAAAATCAACTTTTGCTTTTACTTCTCTTAAAATAATCTGCATTAAGCTATTTTTTTAAAAGCACCCCTAACCCTGCTTTTTCAATTTTAGTTCATTTTCCGAAATATTTGCAAACACCCCCAACTTTTAGAAATAAGCACTTAAAACTAACTTAAATCACAATCACTAACTTCTGTTTTTAAATAATCATTTGCAGACACCACCTATATATATAATGAACACATGTGTACTTAATTATTTCTATGATTAATTAGTTTACTGAATTAAAAATCAAATTTTAATGATCAAAGTATAATTTGGAGATTAAAAAAATTAATTTAATCCCTTTCGTGTAAAGGTATATTTTTTCAATGAAGTATGCGATGGCCTAATTGATGAGATTCTTTGCTTCATTTGCGCCTTTATTCTTTCCTTTTACCAAAAGCTGAACCTTGTTGAATATATATATATTATATTATACACATAGTTTAAGTACTTACAGAAACACAAATATGCAGAATTTTATTAAATGTTATCAATGTAATAATAATTAATATTTATATATAAAAAAAGTAATAATAATTAATAAACCAGTGCGTTCTGTTGTTGTACCGGGCTTGATTGAAGCCCAATTAAAATAGTATGGGCTTTAAATATTACCCAGAGTAAAATTAAAACTGGACTAAATTTGAGCTAAATTTGGCCCAATTTATATAAAAGCACCAAATTTGGGCCTCATGTTAGAGTATGATCTCTTCATTGGTACTTTATTAGAAAGCCGCATACACAAGTCGGACTGTTGGGCACCCATTTGAACTCGAAGACAAACAAAACATAATACATAACTACAAAGATTACCCATGGGAGAGGAAATAAACGATTATAGAAAACACAAGAGAGAAAGAGTTACAGACTGAGTATGGAAGCTGTGAAACGAAACAGACACAAACTTCGAACAACTAATCTTCAACAGATGAAGAAGCTCTATTTTCTATTACGGCTCGGTTTTCTTATCATGTTCTCTCGTCCATAACCTTCTGACGGTGGCTCCAACAGCCCAATACAAAGCACAATCACCAGAAGTTCAGAACCCTAGTTAGAATCATTCAATTTTTGTCAATACTCTATCAAAAGCAGAGAGAACCAACAGTCAAGATTGAATAATCTAGAAAGTTCTCCTGTTTGACCAATTACATGAGCTTTTATGCTGGAATGCCTCATAGAAAAATGAATTTTTGAGCTACATTCATTAATCTTTTGGGCCCAAAATCCAAGAAAGAACTACATGAGTTGTGCAATCATACTATAATTGAATTGTACAAGACCAAAAACTTTAATATACTAACGAATGAAGAGCTTTTCCGGAGAATAAAGAGCTTTTCCGGAGAAAAATAAGCACTAGCCCATCGTGTCGACGATGTGGTTCACCCCGAGAATCAACTATGCATGTTATTGGTCACAGCGGTGGGATGAATAAAGTATGGGCAACACCTCATTTCAATAAACTCGATAAGGTTGGAAAATACAATAACTTTTGGCTGTGGTTTGAACACCTTCGTCTGACATTGAACAAGAAAGATCTGAACCTTGCAATTGTCATCAGCTGGAAAACATGGCATATTAGAAACCAAGAAGTGCATGAGTCGCCTATCACAGTGGTTTCGGACCTGGTCTCTTGGGGGAAGAATTATTTGACAGAATATCACATAGACATGCCCATAATTTTGCAAAACTCAGCAAGAGAGGAAATGCAATTTGGTGTCCTCCTAACGAGGGTACAATTAAAGTGAATTTTGATGTGGCGTTTCCGACCGGAAAAAAGTTTTATAAAGTGGCGGCGGTGGCTCGAAACTCAATTGGGGAGTTTGTGTGGTGGAACGTACGGAAATTTCTAGGCCGACCGAGACCTGTCGATGGCGAAGCAAGAGCGGCACTACATGCTCTTATGATAGCTCGAGAAAAATAATGGAAAAAAAATTATCGTTGAAGGGGATTGTTTGCAAGTTATTAATGTACTTAAAAGTTCAGAGAGCAATTTGACGTCCTTTGACGCTTTGATTGAAGAATGCCGTATCTTTGTTAATTATTTTGATTCTTGTATATTTTCTTTTGTCAAACGAAATGAGAATTGCATTGCGCATTCAATAGCTCATCTTAATGTAGATGATTATTACGAAGATGATCATCTTCCAACTCACTTGGCATCATTTGCCTAATAAAATGATTTCACTTTTGTTCTAAAAAAAAAAACTTTAATATAACTAAGCAAGTACTGTATATTAAAAAAAAATTCTAATTATTTAATATACCATGACTAAATAGTAAATACCAATCAAATAAAGTCTTCTTCCCCATTCATACAATTAAGCATCAAGATTAAGCAAAGCATCTTGTACTAAATCGTTATTTGGTACAAGAAAGCATCTTGTTCTAACTATAATATTATAGTTGACATTGACTAAATAACAAGTCAATACCAAATATAATAAAATATTTCCACGTTCTTGATTGCGACTTCATCTTAGTCTCGCAAGAAAGTTCTGAAAATAAATCGTGGGTGTATGTATTTTTTTTCCCCTTCCCTAACTATAAATTGCTGTCTGAAATCTTGCGGTGACATACTTCAATCAAAGATTTGGGTTTTTTTTTTTCTCTTTCTCATTTTTGTTTTTTGCAATCCCTAATGGAGAGTGAGCTTGAGATTGCCAATGGAGATGCCACGTATGATCTCAGTTCTATTCTGTCCTCCCCAAACAGGGATTACCTTGTCCGCAACAATGGTGACCAGGTAATCTCCTCGTACTCATGTCTTTTGTTATTTTTTCAGACCAATTGGGATTTTGCTATTTGTTGGTTGCAAGTTGCAATTTTGAATTCTTGATTTTTAGTTTCTTTCTTGAAGTTGATTGTATGTATCCAATTTTGGGTTATTTGATATCCCTTTGTATAAGTTCCAATTTTTATAACTCTTTAATTTGATATCCCTCTGTATAAAGATCCAATTTTTTTAACTCTTTAATTTGATGTATGTGCTTAAGGAAATGAAAGTCAACACTTGATTACATTTAGTGGCAAATCAAATTTAGTATTTACTGATTAATGATTTATACCCGTCTTGGTTTCGTTCAAAGGCTAAATATTTTCTGTTAATTTCCGTAGGTTAAATTCGATAGTTTTAAGGGGAAGATAATCGGGGTGTATTTCTCCGGGTCGTGGTGCGGTCCGTGCCAGTGGTTCACCCCGAAATTAGTCGAGGTCTACAATGAACGAGCTCAAAGTAATAACTTTGAGATTGTTTTTGTATCTCGCGATGCAGATGACGAGTCATTCGATGCTTATTTCTCCAAAATGCCTTGGCTTGCAATTCCGTTTTCCGATTCTGACACGCGCGAGAAATTGAATGAATTGTTCGGTGTGAGTGAAATACCCCACCTTGTAATCCTTTACGAGGATGGGAAGATATTGACGAGTGAAGGAGTACGAGTCATTGTAGAAAACGGGTCCGACGGGTACCCTTTTACTTCCGAGCAAATCGAGAAACTCAGGAAACAAAGAGAAGAAGCTAAGATGAATCAATCCTTAAAATCTTTACTTGTGACCGAATCCAGGGACTATGTTATTACATCTGATGGGAAAAAGGTGAAATTTTTTATTAGTATTTGATGGTTTTTCAGTTAGTATACTACGAGTGTATTTCGTTTTAGTATCACCTATGTTATATCGAATTGCTAAAAACTCCCTCGTGTTATAAATATCAGCAAAAAACCCCATGTAATGCAGTTTTTAGCACACAACCCCGTAAATAGCGAGCTTTTAGGGGGTAGTTTGCTTCTAAAAATTGAATCATAGGGGGTTTTTCGCTAATAGAATAACATGGGGAGTTTACGTGTAATATTGACATTCTCGACTTTTTTTTTTTGGTGCAAAGGTTCCTGTTGCTGAGCTGGAAGGAAAGACGGTGGGATTGTATTTCGTATTCGCCACTGTCTACGAATGCCTACATTTTAATCCGAAGCTTATCAAAGTGTACAACAGTTTGAGAGAAGGGGGAGAAAGTTTCGAAATTGTGATGGTACCCCTAGACGAAGATGAAGACTCGTTTAGTGAAGAGTTTGAAAAGTTACCATGGTTATCGTTGCCTATAAATGACAAATGCTGCCTCAAGCTTGCTCGGTATTTCGAGCTCGGTGCCATCCCAACTGTGGTTATTATCAGTCCAAATGGAAAGACACTTCAGTCAAACGTTGTTGAAGCAATCGAGGAACACGGTGTGAAGGCTTATCCTTTCACACCCGAGAAATTCGCAGAGCTTGAAGAGATCGAAAAGGCGAAGAGGGAAGCTCAGACACTCGAATCCCTTTTGGTGAATCAAGATTCCGATTACGTTATCGGAGAAGATGGAGTCAAGGTAAAAAATGAAAAAAAAAAGATCACTTTTTTATTTTTATTTAGAAAATGGGATTATGGTAAATGCTAACACGAATATTTAAATTTTTTAATTTTGAAAATATCAGATTCCGGTTTCCGATCTTATCGGAAAAGACATCTTGCTATACTTTTCGGCCCATTGGTGCCCTCCTTGCCGAGCTTTTTCCCCCACACTCACAAAAGCATATGAAGAAATCAACAAAAACAATAAAAGATTAGAAGTGATATTCATCTCGAGCGATATAGATCAAAAAGCGTTCGAGGATTACTTCTCGGAGATGCCATGGCTAGCACTCCCGTTTGGCGACAAGAGGAAGGAATCTTTGAGCAGTTGGTTCAAGGTGGAGGGAATCCCAACACTCGTTGCATTGGGGCCCACGGGCAAAACGGTTTCGACCGATGCCCGCGGGCTTATCATGGCCCACGGTGCGGAGGCTTATCCTTTCACTAGAGAGAGAATCGAGGAGATTGAAGTGTGGAGGGGTGGGCCCGGAATCTGAAGTGTGGGGCCCACGAGCACGAGCTTTTCCTTACTAAGAGGAAGAATTTTGTGTGTGATGGTTGTGGTGGAAAGGGGAGTGTGTGGAGTTACTATTGCGAGGAGTGCGATTTTGATCTTCATCCAAAGTGCGCTTTTGATGAAGAGAGCAAAGACAAAACTGCAGCACAAGGGTGGGTTTGTGATGGAGACGAGTGTTATAAAGAATGAAAATGAATAAATAAATAATTGCTGCATATATATACTAGGTGAGAGCACCGCGCAATTGCACTGTTTACATATTTGCAAAATGTGTTTTATTTATGCTAGCGTAAATTTGAAGGGTTGATGATACGCTATTGGATATAAGGGTCACATTAAAAGAGAACATTATATAAGGCGAGACGGATTATGAAATAAGAGATAATATTGATATGTAAAAAGGTAAATGACCAAAAATATATTTATTAATGATACAAAGCTGATGTTATACAAGCTAGTAATACGTAAATGATAGAATGTTCGTACATGATTATTGTTGGACTCATTGTTGCGATGGATGATACTGATTAGGAAGAGGAGAATACAGTTCAAGATTGGTACACAATGGCATGCGGTGAAGATTTGTTACAACCTGTTGGTTGTATATAGTATTATTAACGTTGCATTTGCTTCCTTTTATTTGCATCAAAATAGTTGTATTCAAATAATATAGAAAGAATTTAGCATGTGATAAATCTACAACACAAACTTTAGTTAGCTGACATTAGTGTTTGAATAAGTGTAAAAATGAGAGAGGTGCAGTGATGAAGCAGGAATTGATCGAAATATATCATCACCTGAGTAGGTGACCAAGTCTGTTGCCATTATAACAGGAAAGTGTATAGTAATGTCTGCCCCCTAGCTTTGCAACACTATTCCAAAGTATATAATATAGGGACCAAAAATCGTAAAATTTGATCAATTTGTTGATATTTAAGATTTATTTTAACATTTGAATCGACATAGATATGAACGAATTGAATCATAAGAATTGAATCGTAAATCTTATGATTTTTTTCTCGATATTGCGAATTTTCGTAAATGTGGCGGATATTTTGGATAGTGAAAGAGAGATCCAATTTGGGGTCAAATTTGCAATTTGGGTGGAGCGGCTAGGAAGATGGAGTAAGTATAAGGGTGATTCTGCAATTTTCAAAACTATTTCATCTAGGGAGGTGAATTTTCGGAAATTACAAATTGACCTCCACTTGGGGGACATTTCCGATTTAAGGACCAAAAGTAAAAATGGTATATAATATAGGGACCAAAATAGTAATTATAACATGTTTATTATAAATATTATAATAAATTATTGTTTTCTTAAATCGTAAATCATAATATTTGATCGTTTTATCGATATTTAAAATTTATTTTAACATTTGAATCGACTTAGGTATGAATGAATTGAATCGTAAGATTTGAATCGTAAATCATAATGCGACGCCCACTAACGAAATAAACTAATTTTTTTTTTTTAATGAATACTATGACTACTAATTAATACAACAACTTCAACTTAACTACTCAACATTAAAAAAAATCAAATACAAGTGGCAATTAAAGCTCACAACTAATCTCGTATACATAGTTCTTGAATTACAACCATTCTTAAATACATCACTCGATTAAACTCTATAAGACTTCCAAGTAACATTACTCTTAAGTGTAGTCAACACAATCGTCCACTTATGCATCTGACACCGAGAATAAGAAAGAAAATAAAAGAGGAGTAAGTCCAAATGGACTTAGTGAGGAGTACAAGGGAAAACAGGTGCGGCAGCAGGTCTTTATTTCTCTGAATTTTGCCGACATAACTGTCGGGTTTAATTCGGTTATATATAATAGTCGAAATTTGGGGAAAAGATGATATTCCTATAGTTTTCGGTCTGCTATACAAATTTTGAGAAGAAACAAATCCGAAATTCAAAGCCTAAGTACCTCAAATCGACTCCTCAAGTTCAGGGGCAGGCTGCACTTCTTGCCGTTTTCCGACCACCGGTCACCTCCGCCGGCGAAATACACCACCATCGGGAAGCTCGCTTCTCAAGTTTCCCAACAGTACTTTCGGATCGTCAAGACTCCATTGATAAAACCTTCTTGCAGCCCTTTCTTTGAAGAATCAATTTGGGCTTTCTTCTTTAATCTCTCAATCCTTCAACCTAAACTTAAATACTCAAAACCCTCTCATAGAACTGGATTTTTCCAACAATTTTCTGTGATTCCATTCAAGCATCGATAGAGAGAGAGGAGAGAGCAGGCGATAGAGATGATGAGAGAGTGAGCAATTATTGAGTATATAAAGAAACGAAGAGAAGAGAAACTCATCGGATAAAGATGACGAATAAGCCGACTCAACAATTTATCTACGAGGCTCTCTCTGTCATTCCAATTAATTGCACAACATCGGTTCAATCATATCCAATTCATAAACTTGATTGCCAAGTTTATAAAATTATTATTATACTTATTCCCAACTTTTCCATTAATAACACATTAGCCCCAAATCTCATTATTTACTACAATAGACTCTCGCATAAATTACGGGGTGTTACACATAAGATATTAAACTCGATGTTGCGAATTTTCGTAAATGAGTCACACGCGATTATAGCTGAGGAGGAGTAGAAGCAAACTGCGTTAGTGACGGATATTTCGGATATTGCAAGAGAGATCCACTTTGGGGTTAAATCTACAATTTGGGTGGAGCGGCTGGGAAAATTGAGTAAGTGTAGGGGTGATTCTGCAATTTTCAAAACTGTTTCAACCAAGAAGGTGAATTTCCAGAAATTACAAATTGACCCCCACTTGGGGTGCAATTCTGGTTGAAGGACCAAAAATAAAAATATTATATTATATTGGGACCAAAAATCATAAAATTTGATCGATTTGTTGATATTTAAGATTTATTTTAACATTTGAATCGACATAGGTATGAATGGATTGAATCGTAACATTTGAATCGTAAATCATAAGATTTTATGGTCGGTATTGCGAATTTTCATAAATGTGGCAGATATTTTGGATATTGAAAAAGAGATCTACTTTGGGATCAAATTTGCAATTTGAGTGTAGGGACTAGGAAGATGGAGTAAGTATATGGGTGATTCTGCAATTTTAAGAGTTGTTTCAGCCAGGGAGGTGGATTTTCGGAAATTACAAATTGACCTCCACTTGGGGACATTTTAGGTTTAAGAACCGATATTAAAAATGGTATATAATATATGGACGAATATAGTAATTATAACATGTTTATTATAAACAATATAATAAATTATTGTTTTCTTAAATCGTAAACCGTAAAATTTGATTGTTTTGTCGATATTTAAGATTTATTTTAATATTTTAATCGACTTAGGTGTGAATGAATTGAATCGTAAGACTTGAATCGTAAATCATAAGATTTTAAACTCGGTGTTGCGAATTTTCGTAAATGAGTCACACACGATTATAGTCGAGAAGTCGACGCATACTGCGTTGGTGGCGGATATTTCAAGTATTGCAAGAGTGATCCACTTTGGTGTTAAATTTGTTATTTGGGTGGAACGGCTGGGAAGATGGAGTAAGTATAGCTGTGATTCTGCAATTTTCAAAATTATTTGGGTTAACTGCAAAAAATCCCCTAAACTTTGGACGTTTTTGCGCTTTACCCCCTGAACGGAAAAAAGTTGCACGGGCATACCTGAACTCCGGTTTTCTTAGCACCGATCTCCAAAATGTCCATTTTTGGCCAAAATTGACCGGAAGTTAAATCACGTGCATAACACGTGACTTTAGCTGGGGTAAATTAGTATTTTTCTTTTACACAAATTTTCTTCATTTTCTTTTTAATAAATATAAATAATTAAAAAAAGGAAAAATGAAAGAAAGAAGAAAAGAAAAACAAAAAAGAAAAAAAGAAATTTAAAAACCCATCATCTTCGTCCACCACGAGAGAGACACCACCACACACAAATTAGACAACCACCTACCAGAACTTCTGATCCGACGCCGCACCACCACCCCTTCCGAACCAATTTCAATCCATCCCCCCATATCTGTTAGTTCGATCTCGAAAATCTGCTATTCAATCCACCCCTTCACCATCACAAGGCAAAGAGATTGGGGTTTTTCGCCAGTGCTCCGGTCTCAAAGTTTGACCGCCGGCTGGTGGTTCATTCTTTGCCCAATTAATCAACGGGTGGCAGCGGCAGCGAATTGCAGTGGTGGAAGCAACCAATGTGGTGGAAATATGACACTGTAGCAAGGGATATTTATATTTATTAAAAAGAAAAGGAAGAAAATTGAGTATAAGGGAAATGACCAATTTATCCCAGCTAAAGTCACGTGTTAGGCACGTGATTTGACTTCCGGTCAATTTTGGCCAAAAATAGACATTTTGGACATCGGTGCTAAGAAAACTGAAGTTCAGGTATGCCCGTGCAACTTTTTTCCGTTCAGGGGGTAAAGCGCAAAAACGTCCAAAGTTTAGGGGATTTTTTACAGTTAACCCAAATTATTTCAATCAATGAAGTGGATTTCCAGAAATTACAAATTGACCCCCACTTGGGGTGCATTTCTTGTTTTAGGACCAAAAAAAAAAACTGTATGTAATAATATTGATAAGTGTTCATTTTGCATGATTTTCACTTATCAATTCTTCAAGTTTTGGTCTTCGTTCGTACGAGTTTTCAGCTTTATTTGTTTATATTATGCGTTTCTTGTTTTATTTATATTTTCAGGTTTTGTTAGCTATTTTTGTCGATTCGAAACGATTTTGAAAGCGAAGCCGAGAATCAAGCAAACAAGAGCAAAAATTGCAATCAAGTGGATGGTGGCAGCGTTCGGTATTTTATGCATAACTTCTTCATACGACCTCCGATTGAGCTGATTCACATGGATTTAGAAAGCCAACTGCAAGGGCTACAACTTTTGTGAAATGCAAAATTGTCAAATTCGGGCTACAAAAGG